CACCAGACGAAACTGATATTATTGGATCGAGAGGTTTATGAAAACCTTTGACCTCTCAGCAATGCTCAATATTTATCAATCTTCAAAAGCTTTCACGATAAGACCAAACGGACGAGTAGAATCGTGCCTTCTCTGTTTCCCAGCTAACAGAAGACGAACGAGACTTCACAAAACTCGATACGTTTCAATGGAAAATTTGTGAAGCGTCTGGAACCGCAAGCTCGCCGCAGATGCACCAGGTTAAATGGTCCATCCGGTTGCAGCCGCGTCTCCGTCGGAGACGTCCGTTGATTTATAGAAAAAGTTGGCGGACCACTCGAAAGCTTATTTGGTCGCGGCTTCGAAAACTGTACGAGGACTTTGCTACGATCCTCTCTGCGAAAGTTTGCGCTCGTGAAAAGGATCGAAGCTTGCCCATTGGACCATCACGAACGACGACTTGAATCGCGAGAATATTCCTTGGCGGAACCTTCAAAATCGCTATCGAAATTCATTCCGCGATTCTCCAACGAACAAGGTGCAATTTTTCCCGGTAACTTGGAAAAACCTATTCATCGTAAAAATGAAGAAGCGTGTCGCGATTCCGTGATTTAATTCGATCCCGAACGGCTACGCAATATTTCTGCGCGAGTTCAAAGCGTCGTTGGCCAGCATGGAATCCGGCCAAACGCGAAATGCACGAAACGACATGGCGCAGGGATTCTTTATTTCTCCCTGGCTCTTTCGACCCGTTGAAAAATGTTTCGTTTTACCGTTCTAACTTCGGGATCGCCGTTTAAGCGACATATCGCGGACGCGATCGCTGAGAGCCTCGCCGATTTCTGGCTGATCGAAGTTGGCAAAATGTTCGCGCCACGATACGCGTTCGGGTTCTCCTCTTTATAATTGCTGGTCGAAAATTGGGAATCGTATTCGATATCTTTATGACCTCGATTCGAGGGCAAATGAATTTCTAATTGTTGTAGCTTGTCGTGAATGAACGAGTTTAATCAGTAGGGAATTCCATAAATGGTTGGCGGACGATTTACAGAAGGGTTTCTACGTTCGAAAACGAAAAGGAATAAAATGTCTATTTCACGAAAACATGGAAAATATTTTGCGTCCGTTCCACGGCATCGTTATCTATTATCTGAAACGATCAAAAGAACAGGTCGAAATCGCTGGAACGATCTTCGGCTAACTCGTTAGTTACGAGTTACGACCGTTGGAAACGGTAAAAATAATTTTTCGCATGGCACCCTCGACGAGGGGTTGCGAGCGTTCGGTTAGAAACAGGAAACGGTGAAAATTAAAATGAGAGCGAGAGGACACGGTAAAACGCGTCGAAAATTGTAACGCGCCCATGGAATCAAACGGTGAGCTCGTAAAACTTTCATTCCGACCCGCTCACAGCCACAAAAGTTGAAAAATTACCAATTCTATTCTTTGCTCGGCTATTCGTGCAACAGCACCGACGCTATCGCGTTTAGTTAAACGAACAATGATGCTCTAAACACCGGATCGCTGTTGTTTCATATGAATTGAATTGAATTTGTAAGAAACAGACTGTACTACGCGACAGATCGCGGCTAAATGTTTGACGTAACAATTTCTATGGAAATGAGTGAATAAAAATCGGATTTTATTGGAAAGGTTCGCGCGATTGGCAGCCAATGGGCCGGCGACTTCAACGATCGAAGAAAATTTCTTCTGTCCGCGTATAGAGAAGGGAAACGGCTGATTTATCTTCCGCGACACACGGCGGAGCATGGATTACGTGCCTCGAATCCGTATTACCTTTCCTATGGCGAGTATCCCGTGGAAAAGTGGTGCAATATTCCCTGGTATACGTTAAACCTTCGAAAACAGGCGGGACGAGGAAGGGGAGATTTCAATGTCTGTCGAAGCACCGATGGAAGACGTTCTTTCGCCGGAAACGTGAGTGGCGGAAGTTGAAGCGAGGATGCAGAGCAATTTGAACGATCGTTCGATTTAAGGGACCGAATTTATTGCCCCGTGACGGTATACATTTTTCTCTGGTATGTGGAACAAATAGGAGAACCGGGAAAATGAATTCTCGCCAGAAAAATTAATTGACATTTTGCTAAGTAAACTCGAAGGATGTTCGATCGCTTCAACCCATCTTCGCCAATCAATTCCCCATTCAGGAGAGAATAGTTTAATCGATTCGAAGAGTCGGGAGGGAACAAGAAGTCCGGTCGAGTTTCGATTCGTACCCGATCGAATCGTGAATTCCATCGTAGCCCGTTAGTCACACGGAATTTAATATCCCAAAGTCCAAAATTTCGCGACGACGCGACGCCTCAAAAGATTTCGTCCCGATGGCGTACGAAAAGCACCAACTTCGTTCTAACTTTCACGTAAACGTTCTACGGGACTCCGTTCTTCCCGATCAACTTCACGAGGAATCAGTTTACCGGTAGCCGATTGCAAATCGAATTCTCCGAGATCTCGTCGACGAATAAATAGGAATCTACCGTCGGGGTAGTCGGCTGAAAAGCCGCAAGTTTCGATGAAATGCATTCTGACTGACTCAACGATGAACCGAAGAGGTTGGCTTTTTCGAGACTCGCACGAGTTTCTAACGCAGCTATTCGTTTCTAGTGATATAAGTCGATCATTTCGTTGGCAACTGGCTCGCGATATTCATTTCGCGTCACTTTTATTTGTTCTAATACCAAACTCGTCGACACGGCAGACTTAACGTTTCGCTCGAACACGCAGCGAGAGGATATTGCGTCTGTATCAATATCCCCAGCTCTGATAGCCGAGAAACGAACGGCTGGGATACGCCAACGGGGATATTCACCCGGATATCACTAGAAGGATGTTTGCCCTACGTTTTGGCCAGCTTGACGTCCCTACCACTCTTCCGGTGTGTGTTTGGTCTTCGAGACGATACTCGTAGATAAGATTCTACTCGGATCATCCCCTTCCGGTGGTAGGAACCGTCTGACTTGGCGTATTTTCGAACGAAACAACGCGAATTGAATCTGCATCAATTTTCGAACATTTCTCTAAATGTATCTTCTGCGTTTTGATATTTATCGGTCTTGGCTTGCGTGCTACACGATCGTTGATTTGCTCGTAAATTTTCATTTATGATTAAATAGTTGGGATACTTTCTACGGTAACAGTTGCTAATTCGGCTGAACTTTATAAGAGCGGTAACTTTTTATTATCGCAGCATCGCGAAACTGTGCTCGTAATTTTAAGCTATTTTTAAGAGCCATATCGGAAACTTTAAAAGGTTAAGTGTGACGAAAGGGAAAGTAACGAAAAATCCAATCAGAAATACAGAGGGTGTCGTTCAATTTGTATATTAGAAGGCAACCACCAACCCCTTTCTATCCTATGTCTTTCCCTATCTATTTTATTGATCCTTGCAGCAGAAAATCCTTTTTCCATTAGAAATCTAGAGTGCATGCACTCTTCCAATCATTGGACGCGTAAACACATAAAGTTCGTCTGTACGTGAAATATTATTCCGTTTCTTCTTTTTCGGATAACGAGGGTAGTGGAAAATGTGAACCGTCCGATTGAATCGAAATTTAAAAAGTAACCAGTGAAATTCGTGTCTGAAATACATTGGCTGCTAGCGTATGTTGGAAAACGACCCAACAGATATTTTATTCCGTGAAAGTCGAACGTCCATCAGTGCCAAACACGCAAATATTTCCTAACATGAAAAATGTTCTTCAAGTATGTCGATATCGCGTTCGTATCTTATTCCTCGATCGCATGCAAGTATCCGGCTAAATTTCGAAATAAGAAGAACGCGTATCGAATCTGGATATACTTCGAAAGAAACGCTTTTTGCAATAAATTCGAGAGATCCTTGACAGTCCTGTACCGTTTGATATTTTTCAGATTTTCCTTCGTTCTACGCGTTTTCCGATAATGATTCTACCCCTTGTTTCCACTTTAATAGAAATTCCTGATCGAATACTTTAACGTTACAAACTCATTTTACTTCTTTTTTGTGATCGACAGTGGAGGGATGAAAATCGGAGCAAAATATCTAACGACCCCCTATCGGCTTCCTGTATCCTTACATGACCAAACAGGATAGCAACATCGAAAAGGTTCTGGCGCGAGTAATTAAGACCTTACAGGCGTGTAATGGCCGCATAAATCGACCTCGCCTGGCCATAAGCAGTAATCCACTTTCAAGTTCGCGCGGAACATCGCGCCACCGCCTGACGCGTAAATTTCGTCGGTGGTTTATGCAAATTATTGATGGAAGCTGAGCTAATACATTGTGTCGCGTGCAGTCGAGCCGCTTACGAAGAACCCATTTACACAAGCGGCTCGAATCGATACGTTTTACTAAAGACGAGCCGCGAATATTCGCGTTTCTTGGCTGAGCTTAAATGTCGTGTAACGTTGTGATAAATAAACAGGGTGTCGCGGTGGAACGGCGTTAAATTTATTTCTCGCTAGGATAGCTCGCAAAGAGGAGAGATGAAATTTTGAAATGGGAGATGGAACAATTTATAACGTTGCGACGAGTAAATATCGGACACAAGAAATTTCAGGCAACAGCGTTGGTGAATTATTAACACGTTTGAGAGTATAACCACAACATGTGCTGTTTGTAAATAATTTGCTTCATTCTACTATGATTAACAATTTCAGAATCTTACATTTTGTTATTCACATTCTAAAAAAAAGGAGTATTTTACGACTAACATTAGTGATAAGTACGCAAGTTTACTTCGTGTGTACATCTTAAATAATACTAAAATCAGAATCTCTCAAACGCGTCGTAATTTCAACGCGAACGAATCTCAAAGGTGGAATCCATCACTGTCACCTATCTGAGTCGCGTTCAAGCTCAATGGCGCGGCGCGATCAGTTCAAAACAAAATGGAAGAAAAGAATCTTCTTACGCCTCGATTCGCATAACCTAAACGCCTACACCGGCCGGGCGTTTCTGCTAATTAATCCGCAAGAAGAAAACGCATAAGAAGAAGATAAATTATTTTATTTTGACTCACCCTAATCGTACGGTCGTAGATCCGTGAACGTTGCACTGTACTCCATCGCCTCCATCGCACAATCACACGAAGGACCGTTCACACGAACCGCGCGATCGACGAAATTCACTAACCAAATCGGTTCAGTATTTTCAAAGTACAAGACTCTTCTCTCTTTCACCCCAAGCATCTTTTAGTCCTCGATGAAAGCTTTGCTCGTTGCGTGTACACAAACGATCACACGACACTGTTGTACAAACACCGAACCGACAGCTTTCCTGTCTCGCGAAGAGGTGCGGGGGGTGGTTCGGAGAAAGAGATACAGCGTGTCACGTTGTCGTTTACTTATTAATTCACTGATTGTAGTTCGATCGTGATCAGGATGATCGTTCGATCGAACGATGACCCGGAAGAACGAGTCTCGACCGGATGAAACGTCATTTTGTTCGATTTCCGTCCGGCGTCACGCGGTCACTGGTTATCGACGGTGCCAGGTGTTTACACGACACCTGAACGCGAGAACGTTCGAGTACGATTGAAAACGATAAACACGACGAAGAAGGAGCACAACACTGGCACACTGGATAGGAGGGGACACGGTTAATCGAAACGGAGTGGCACGTAACGGGACCGACAACACGTAACGTCGCGTCGAAGCTCGCGAGACGAACTACGGCACGGGAATGAGAAGGTCCGCGAGCTTTCGCGCATCGCGACTCCAGCGCCACCATGATAAACTCAGCGTCTCGAAGCGCGCCACGGTCGATTTTGCGAATTTAACCTACCGACCGGACATCGACCAACACTTCCAGCGGGCTCTTTCGACCTGCCTTGCCCCGCTCGTTCTACGTGTTTCAGATTGTACCAAGGGGATCGGCTTTTAATAATGCTTTTCTCATTGTACCGGATTTTGGTTCGATCGGACCGTTCTGATTGGTCGAACGGTAAGTTATCACTTTTTATTCGTTAGATACACCAAGTCCCTAGCCGGGAGCCAATCGGCGTGCGGCAAACGATCCGATGCCGAATCGTTCTGAAGGCGGTTGCGTTCGTTTTTTTATCGCCATTACGCTCGTTATTGCGTTACTTACTTCGTTTTGTTTCCACGCGTTGCATACACGTGCCCGCAAAATAAAGGTGTTAAAATATCTACAAACAGTTCTTTTCCTATACGAAAAACGCGATTCAAATATCGCGAAATTACCAGGCCCCTCGAAATACGAGAGGATCGGCGTCATCAAGCATCATCGATGGTAATTCCTAACCTCCGAAGATTTACTCACGGTTTTACTGACGGTGTTTCGAGCCTTGCTGTTACGGATTATTGTTTACGGTTCGGAGAACTGTTCTGGTAAGTTGCACTGCACCCTTTTTCGCTAAACGTGATGCGTTTCTGAAAAAAGAATAAACGGGTCGCGTTTAAATGAACGGATGAATAAATTTTCCGTTTAATCCTTTCAATTTTTAAAAAAACCACATTTTTATGTTTCATGAAAGTGAACATTATAGAGTACCTATATTTTGAAGTGATTATAATTATAGATGCTTAAATTCATTATAATTGTATTGAAATTAAGAAAGACGCGAGATATTATAACTGTAATGCACTATACTACTTATAGCGTCCGGCCGCATGGCGCATTTAATGCCGCGGACTCCGTTTCAAAACGATTCGTATCAAAGTTTACAAAATACAAGAATTTCATAGGGTGCTTTTAACATTTACGTTTGAATTTATAGCTTATAATATTCATAAAGTAATAAAAAATCCTTTTCAGTAGCAAAACACCGAGAAAGCTGACCGAGCCTCGTCGCGCAGACTCCGCTCGAGAAAAGACAGTGGCTATCGATTCAGTTCTACCAACGGAAGGACACTTTCTGGTGATTTTGTCGATTGCCTAGGGATTCGCAAGCACCCTTATGCACTTTAAACTTCATCTTTCAACAGGTAATAAGAATTCACAGTCGCTTCAGTATTTTTTCTGCAGATCAAATCAGTGCAGCTTCTCGTTTAAAGTTTTTTTCGGTCAAAATAACAAAAAAATCAGAAAGTAGTTTGAAAAACACTCGTGATCGAAATCTTCGGGTAGAATATCTTGGATAATTAAACCAGGAAATGGGAAACTGTGGTACTTTTCGAATTGAAAGGAACAGCAAGGACCCTCATCAGAGGGCAGCGTTCTAAAACACTGCTCTTGCAGAGAATTTGAAGTATAAAGCATTCTCCGATGCAAAGAATTATCAGCCGTTCCCGGGGAAATTAAAGCGGAAACTTTTATTAGCCAGAAACTTCAATGAATGAAACTTTCGACAAACTTTTAACGGAAGTTCGTTTAAATGCGGTTCCTTATCGCGAATTTCTACATCGTCTAAAGTTGCCACTAGTCCTACCGAACGTGAACCCTCATTACAAACGTTTCATTTTTCTTCGGTACTGTGTTTAACGCTCGCGATGCGTTTTATCAACATTAGAAGCACAAGCTGCGAAAAAGATAGTAGAACCTTGATGGTTCAAGCATTTGAACCCTTTTAGAACGTTCGAAGGTGCTTCGTGAAAATTCAATTATTATAATTAACAGAATCGGAGATGTAGTTTAGTTTATTAATTATGATATCGCATTGCGGCTCTCTCGTATCAAAAGTTCTCCTATAGCGTTGTTTACAAACTTCCAAGTTGCGATTCACAGCCACTACTACTTCAATTAACTTACATCTCCGTCTTCTCTATATTTCCCGCTCCCTTTGGAATTCGCATTATTGACTTCGGTAACTAACAAAAGCCATTATCGTAAATCTACAACGCCCACTTCTCTAGTAATTGATCGAAATGTCGTGTTGATTTTGAAAATAAAATTCCAGTGTAAATATGTCTTCGATAATTCCCTTTCACATCGAATTTCTTAGTAAAAATGTGTAAGGAAAAGTGGTCCTTGATGGAAAACTTCTCCACCAGCCCAAGAGGATTTTCTCTATGTATGGTATTTAAAGGAAAAAGTCACGCTGCTAGCCACAAATGTTTTCGAGAAACACATTCTCAGAGTTGCCTATCATTTCGAGACCTGTATGGTGGTTTTCCCCCCTTAAAAAGCTACAACCACCTCTGGCTCTTACGCTCGCAGTACTTTGGAAAACCATTCGATGCAACCTATTTTCTGCACGAGGAGGGAAAGAGGGAGGAGGCTGTTCGAAGAAGACGCAACATGCTTTTTCGAAGTCAAAGAATCTCTCTAATATAGAACAGGGTGTGCGTGCGTCTCTCGAATGAAGATATACCAAAGAAGGAAACACAGACGAGCGCACACCACATTCTATCCATCGCCTCGGTTAAAGTTATAACTGCTGTGGCGGCATTTGGGGCGCATATCCTATCCACTTTCAGCGAGTTTCTGCTTCGCACCCAACCAGCCTGCGAAAGGACACAGGACGTGCGTTTATTTCTTCATCGGAATCTTCTCCGTCGTTGAAAGTTTAAATTGCAGCAAATCTGTCCGTCTGTAATGCGGTTAGACTTTCAGAGATACAAACAAGTGTCTCGACGGTCTAAGACACCAATCAGGAGATCATTCTCCTTGGCAAAACTGGCAAATAGCTCGCGTGTTAGTGTCAGTATCTTCGAACCCGTCCCCAAGATTCCAAGTCTCATGGAATTCTACTGCTGTGAACGTCGTGGGACCTAGCTTCAACTTCCGATCGGCGTCTTCAGCCACGTTTCTCCCGGGAGAGAGCGAACTTACTAGTTAGTTCTCAGCCATCTGCGAACACCTGTACCCGTCGTATCGTAACTAAATGTGTCATCTATATTTCTATTCGATCGATAAGCGGCAATTACTTCGCAAAGTGTAACGAGTCCCTTCCATTGCTTCCTCTTGGTTCCTTTGCTTTCTATTGCTACTCGTTCCCCAGGGTGAAATGAGCAACCGAGGATAAGAGAACGGGGGAAACGCGTCGAATATAAATTACGGCTAACGAAGCTGATTCCAATTTTTCTGTTGATTCTAGTACCGCAGGATCAGGTGTGCGACGAGAATTAGCCGATGCGACGATCAGTAACTCGTGGAAGCGCAAAATCGAGCTTTCTGTCTTCTAAGGACACTGATTTAACGACAGAAGTGCAGAAGGAAGTGGCAGCCATCAAACTAGCGCGCGTAAGATCGGCAAGCGGACGTAGACGGGTAAGAAGAAGAGGAAAACCGAGGAAGGATACGAAACAGCGGAGGAAGCTGACACGAAAGGAAGACAAGGAGCTCTCTCATACAGTCAGCTAGCTATAATCCCTTCTCGGAAGATGAATCACCCTGTCGACCGTCTCTCAAGACCACGTTGATGGCGAGATAGAGGTGGCGAAAGAAGGTGACTCGCTTCGAGAGCAGCTGTCAGCGCTCGACCACTCTTCCTCTTTCTGAATTTACTCGTGACAACGACGATCCTCGAAGAACGAGAAGAAAACGAACGAATACGCCGAGTGAAATTCAATTTAGACCACGAAACAAAACGAATCAACCACCAACTGCAACTGGAGCGAAAAGGTAACGTGGTTGACCGTGTGCCACCCTGTTGAAACTTTCGCGACAAGAGTGTTCGTGAAATGTAATCAAATGAAATTGCCCGACGCTTTCTTCCAGGTCGTTGTTCCTGTTGAATCGAGTTTCACTTTCGTGAAATCTCCGAGGAGTGTTGGTAAACACAGAATGGACTTTGGACGAGTGAAACGAGACGCAGGTGGCTTCGAAGGCTGGAGACGATTGTTTGGACGATACCCATCTGGATTAACAAGGTAAGTAAATATTACTTGTTTTTCATTTATGAAGCTATGAGATCATCTCGAGAAACTCTTCCCGAACAACTCGATTCGTATGTACGTTCAAAATTCTTGGCGACTTTTCTTAAAAAGACCTAATGTTATAAAAGAGAGAGGTGGAAAAGCGAGGAGAAATAACAAGCTTTAAGAGTGGCAGTCACGAATCGTGGCTGTCGGTGTGTCCGTTGTCGAAGTGGAAATAAAATGAAATACGGGGTATACCTTTTTCAATTCGGGTCGTGCGACGAAATAGAAATCTGTAACGAGTGGGCAAGGCACGAGACGGGGAGGGAACGGGACGAAACGGAAACGGAAGCGGGCTCGCTGATGATTCAGATACGTAAGCCAGTTTCAGTAACGAGCGGAGGAAAAACCTGGCCCTCTAACAAGCATCCCTTTTTCTCTGTCGACGATTTAACCGAGGGTGTCGATTTTCTTGAAAGCTTGTTGACGTTGCTAAGTTCGTGCGATAATTTTGTTTTTCTTTCAACGACGATTAGTAAAAGTTCAATTAAACTCGTTAAAATCGTGTCCCTTGAATCTTCTCGTAAACTAAATACGTAAAAATCATCTGACGTACGTGTTGAAAGCTTTCAGACGCCTGAATCTTTAATATAATTCGATGAAAGTACGATCTCAAATGTAATATCTATGATAGTAGAAAAATGTTCAACGCCGAGAAGTTCGGTTGGCAAAAGTGGTCTTGTTGAAAATCCAAGTTTAAAAAGGCGACGGGATTACGGCAAAGGGGAACATTAGCTCGGTTCAGAGTGTCCGAACAGGTTCCAGCACCGCCGCGGTCCTGGCCAAGTCACCACGATGAAAATATTGCTGGAGATTTCATTATAGATAGACGAGGAGCGTGTTTCCGGAATTGCCACGTCGCGTTCTTTCGCCCTCTTTCCTTTCTTTCTGGCCCGCTTTTTTTTGCAACCGTCTGCCCTCGACCCCGTATGGAGGATTTCCTGCATTCTGTATTAATTACCGGGCGAAAGAACCGCTGGAATCCCGACGACGGCGAAGAAACGCCCTGCAGTCCAGATACTCGGGAATCCTGACCGATAAACGGGGACTCTGTTGTCTGGTTTCGCGTAATTTACGCCTCGCCATACCGAGCAATTTCACTGGCCGATGAAGAAAAGAATATCCAGAAAACCACCAGCAGACTCCGCTCTCCCCTTCTTTCCCAATTCGATCTGTGCCCTTCTCGTCTTACCTTCGGCCTAACAGAATTATCGGAATAGCATTGCCCTTGGAATGGGCACACGAACCAGATAATCGTTCGAGTATCCGTAATCCGTCGTTAGGCGGAGTGGCAAAAGGGTTGATTGACGCCCGTCGCCAGCATCGAAGTGTGAATACACGATCGATCCTGGCTCGTATTTGGATCGGTATTCAGTGGAAACCGCAGATACACCTAATCGATATCACTTAATTAGGAAGTGAAAAATTCTCAGTTGATCGCGTGTTCGAAGCACAGTGATGTTAAGGGGAAAAGGGGGAAAAAAAAGAAAAGCTAGGGACGCAGTGAAACGCAGTGTTCCATGATTTACGAGCAAAGCGGATCGTTTAGCTTCGGTTGAAACGTTACGCCTCGCAGATGCATTTAATCACTCGAACATCCGATAATCGATACCGCCTGTGGATATGTCGCTGGAAACAGCGGCGACTTGGCTGGAATACGATCTGGAGAGATCGAGCTTCGTCGGTGATCGAATTCACGTCGCCGCGAACCATGACGTTGAATCGCGTGCACTTTTCTTCCTGCTCTTTTTCTTTACCTGCACCGACTTCTCCGCGCGAGGAATAATGGACTGTGAAAATAAAGAGGCACGGGGAAAATAGGAACGCGTATATCGGTTTGTGTGTACACGTTACAGGGAAGCTTGAGAAAGCGCGTTGCCTTGCTGAATCGACATTCTAAGCTTACATTGTTTAAACTTTAGCATGTTGCGCAAATTAGATCGCGATTTTCGAGGAACACTCGAGATGAACGCAGCAAATTCTCTTGTTAGTTGCTCCTAAGGGATCGGCTTGCTTTCATGTGTAAATCAGTAATGAACATTTTAACAGTGTCTTGTCTGAGCTATTGTCCCTTTCTTATTGCTCCTGTCTTTACTCGTTTCTCTCGACATACCGTTTACCTTGTTACCTCGCTGGATCCATTTCCCTGTCGTTCTTGTTCACTTATCAAACCTGCTCTGTTTCTTATTTGCTCCTTTAGCCGACTGCATCAGAGTTGTGTTGAAATTTTGCTACTGTTCTTGTTTGTTTCGCTTGCGTCTCTTAGTCTGTCGAACAACCGGCAACATGGTATCTGATATATCATTTCAACAGATACTGCAAATTCTCGTAATCTGCAAAATTACGTTTCGCTACGTTTCAGTCGAGACTCTAATGATTAACGACGAACCCCCATCTGAAGAGATCAACGGTTATTTCACGAATTCGCCGGGAAAGCTGATTCGAAAGTGGTATCTAACGACGGCAGAGATTTCTTCCCGAAGAAATTACGAAATTCTGTCGATAAAAGCTGGCGAGGTGTCTGAGCTTCTGCCGGTGATCGTCGAGTATTTTTCGATTAACGTCATCCAAACGGCGTTCGCTCCGGATTCGTGTCTGATTAAACAGAGTTCAGGCCTTCTCGCTTTGAGATCTAATTAATCCGACATCGCGTTCGGTCGTTACCACGGACAGTTAGGTAGTCTAACCAACGAGTGGCTTGCATTGTCTCGACAACAATAGTGGCTCTTGAAGCGGAGGCGGAGACAGAAGCTTGTACTGTGGCCAGCCAAGCGGTACAAATTTATTAATTGGCTCAGGTCGAAGGCAGGAAATTAGGCTTGCACTACCTCGACATCAGAGGACGCGATAATAAGAGACGAATGTTACCGGCGCTGTTTAAGGGTTGATTTGCGCATCGAATGATCCTAATTACTAGTCGCTATCACTGTGTCTGCAGTCGAGCTGATGCATCAGCTAAATTTAACGCGTTCACATTTGCACGAATATTACACGTAATTGTACGTTCGTGCGTATGTGCGTTAATTTTAGTCTTGAGGTACAATTGAAGATGAATAGTACAACTTAGAAGGCGAGTAAATGTTATTTGATTAAATGAGGGTCTGTTGAAGTTCAGTTTCTGTCTGATTCCCGTACCCTTTGCTGTCTACCGTCTGTTCATTTCTCATCTTCCTGTACCTTCGCCAGAAATATGAAATATATACATGTACAGAGTGGCTAGTCAGCCGTTATATGATCAGACCGTTTTCATATGTTATGAAGGGAAAGCTGCCCTAAGCAACCGAGGGCAACCCTAGCGTCCGTGTGACGTTGGGCAGAAGTTCTCCAGTTCTGCTCCGGAGAGGAAGTTGTTTGCGTTTAAGTTACAATTGCATTAGACCAAGTTAGGTGTGAGTTAAATTTCCATAAATCTTCATTACATATACGAGTAGGTTTCATCCAATTTTCCTTTTGACATGTATACTGTTAAAAGCAAAGATTTATAAAACATTTATTGCTATTCATCTCCTTCTGACGGATGAGTGAACAGTTAAACAACATATTATTTCAGATTAAGTTGTAGCAACAATTAGTCGGTTTTATCTGTCCTGTTCTTTTGAAAATGATCAACGATTCCAACGCATGCAAACACTGTCTCTCTCTCGAGAGATACAGGCAATCAGTCATTCCTAGCTCGTCGCTCCAAACGAGCGCTCATCTTTTTCCAATTTTATTTGCCATCGGACAAACCACGTTCCAGGATAACGGGCCACGATATTAGTCCGAGTTTTAAAGGCAGCTGCACGCGTCGCGACAAAGGCGACACGTCAGATTGTTTGTCGGTGAAACGACCGAGTTTCAAGACACTTCTATAAATCCACGATATCCTTAAGCAGACGCAGGACGAAGGCACGCGTCATGAATTATTCCAGTGTTCTGATTCATCGAATTATTCATAAGGAAACAAATGTTGCTTGGTTGCTAGTTTGTACCGTTCGGAGGCAAGTCTTCGACGTTCTACGAAAGAAACTATAAATCTTGTTTCGTTTTAATTCGTACACGGGATCTCCTGGTTTCAGCTTCCGCTCGTCTAAGCATCGAAATTCCGAAAAATTCATCTGATTACTATTTATCGTGTGCTGTTTCTTTTCTTGGACGTCAGAGAGCGATACGATGGAGAGATTTATTTGGGGAAGTCCTGGATATGTAGCTTCGCCGCATCCCTCGAATTCTGCCTTTTTTCTCGAATAATTCATCCCTTAATCGTCCGGCAGCCAGCGGAGCTGTATCTGTTCGCCGTTTCCAATCGTACATCATCCGGACGATGGGTGTCGTGTTCGTCAAGCTGACTGGACGACGGTTTCACGATGTCGCGTAAGCACTCGTTGCTGGTAATCCAACCCCGTCAACCGACGGGGGTTGTCTTGCAATTACGGCTTTCCAAACTGCTGTGCCCAGAAACTGCGTTACGCTCTCGGTAACTAATGCTTGGTAATCGTTCGGTTCAGTTCTCGCCGTTTCCTGTTTCTCTGTTTCCAGACTTTACCCGCTCTGCACGGTGCACCCTTCCAATCCTCCACTCTCGACCTCGTTTCATTGTCAACGAACCAGTCGTTCTACGAATTGTCCGGCTATTTGCTGGCCACTGACGCGAACGAACGAATGGACCCCTCATTATCGGATCGTTTGTCGTGAGCCAAGCTTCGTGGCGGGTTTCTCGTTGTTTAATACTGTGCTCGATAGGGTACACCATTTTTACGTCTCATTGGTTCGCAGTGAAACGAGTATTCCTGATATTTCAGGGAATTTTAAAGGGTTGATACATCGTGATGTTGTATTTTTTAGGGATTTGTTAATAAATGTCCCACGTTTTTCACAAAGCCGTATAGTTTAATATACAAGCTTTTCGTCCAGCATGATACGCGTTCAGCTTGAATAAACCTTTTATAACAAAGGCAGATACTATTGTATTA